AAGCATGTACCAAGAACTATCTGTAGGACAAATCGATGTCTCTACAGATGTGTAGATGATGTGGTAGATAAAGTACATATCTACTTAAAAGAGTTCTTTAAATTAGCAGTTACCTAAATCTCATTAGGTATATTCTGCTTCAAGAGATAACTAAAAGTATAGCTGCTATCACATGGACAGTGGAAAGATTTTTGTCCTTATATTTAGAACATTTGGATATCCCTGCTGTCAGGGATGGGAAGTAACGCAAAGGTTTTAAGCGAGAAGTTCTAAGGACTTGAGGTCTGGGATTTTTGCTCCGCATCCACCCATGGACCCCTCCTCACCAAGCCGCCCGATCTGTTTGAAATCATCTGTTTGAAGGCCCAAAGAAGAGCCTGCCCCAGCGAGAAGCCCTAGCACGGAGATATTCTCACAAAGAGCGCTACGTAAGTACAAATGACTGTTTGATCAATCATTTGGCCTCAGCATGGGATTTGGTTAGAATTAAAGCCATCTGGCTGGTGGGGGGGGGAACAGGGGGAGGAGACAAGCAGGCGGGAAAAAGACTCACCCCCCTCCCCCAAAAAGCATTGTTAAAATATAACGGGGAAAAACAGTAAAGTTCCTGCTGTTATTTCAGCCTAAGCCACTTAATCCATCAGCACATAAAGCAACTTATTTTACGACCTTTTCCCTTTAAAAAATAAATCAGAAGACGATGCCTTGAATTCAGATATCTCTGAAGCACACTACTCATCCCTCACAGTGAAATATCCTGTTTCATAAACCTTCTTCAAGATACTTGAAGCTGCAGATCACTAAATACCTTGCTTTAGGCATCTGACATTCCAGAGAATTAATATTTAAACTTATTATAGGAAAAAAGAATTGCGTTTGGTTGAAGCATGAAATATTTAATAGTGTCTCCAAATTAGAAACCCTATTTTGTTTCGCGCTGGAAATGCCAACGTTATTACCTGGGCTTTGCACTCAAATAAGATAAAATGCAAAGGCAGTCTTGAGATGAAACACACAATTACAGCCGTTTTCTCCAGAGAGATGGGGAGTGAGACAGGTTTGGGGAGTGGACGTGATTGAGTTTCATTTTTACGATACGCTTAAAATTATATTATCATTCTCTGCCTTGAGGGTTGGACTTGAGACTGCTGAAGCTACTTAACCACCGAAAACGGTGTCAAAATCAGTGACTCCACGGAGGCCTATTCTCAGGCTCTTTAAACCGTCGTCTTGGAATGGGCTCACTGACGAGCAAAACTCCGTAACTTTCTCTGCTCGCTAGGACAAAAGTATTCAGTGGTTTAGGATAAAAATTAAGCTTCAATTGACACAGTGGATCCTGGCAGCCTCTGCCGGCACGTGTAATTTATTTACAGGGTTGGAAAGTCGGCAAAATACATCATCAACTCTTACACAAACTTCTACTAGGTATTAAATACCCAACCCTCTGAGAAGTAATTCATATAGTCCAGCAGCGTTCCAAAATAAACCCAATCTCCAGCCCTCCGGAGAGCTTAAAACAGCAAATGGGCTCTGTATTTTTCAAGTCAGGTTTATAGTACTCCCTGGTTTCTTGCTAAAGCCTGATTTCTAGCAAACCTGTTATTTAAAAACAAAGGTAACATCTAAAAGAGTAATCTGGTTGCTAAAAAGACACAAATAGGAACAGGCTGGGCTGCATGGCAGGCAGGGCCATCCCTCGTACTTCATTCACTCCCCTTCAGACACGGCGGCACGAAGGAAGGCAAAAATTCCTCGGACCAGAACGGCTTCTGCCAGTCCATCTTCAGAATCAGTATGACTCCCTTCGAACGTACACATTCTCATGAACGCACGTGCGAATGTACACATTCTCATGAACGCACGTGCAAGGCCACAGATGCGACCAGCCGTGGGACCTTTACCTTCCATAGGGGTTCATCTAGCTCATTCATCATTTGACACAAAAGACCCATTTCTCACAAGCAAACTCTCAAGCTCACTCTGATCCCCAGCCTATTCTCCCTCCCAAGCCCTACTTCATCCCACCAAGTGTTTAACAAGAAATAATTGTTTAATAGATCCCTGACCCAACATGCTCAGGGAAGCACGTATTCTACAACCAGGCATGGTGGGGATCTTGAGGAATTCTCATCCAACAGATGTCTTTGAAAGCCGTAGAGGGGAGACTACGACCGGGGCCTTGGCAAGGAATCTCCCCAAATGGCAAGAAAAACTCAAACAGGGACTATTACCTGCAATAACCAGTCAGGATGGGAGTTGCCACTGCTTCTGAGAAGCAGTCCCTCCTAGGGGCCCCCTCCATGGCCTCAGAGAGTCCTTTTCCAGACCCCAGATTCCTGAGGATCCTGAGTCACTGGGAACATTCTCCTTTCCCTAGTGCCAAAGCGGGAGAGAAGCAGTGCCCTACGGAGGCAGAGTGTCCCCTGTAAGTCACACCTCAGCCTGTTGGCTGAGACTGAGAAAGGGCTGCTCTGGGATGTGGCTGTCTGGGCCCCCTGCGGCCTCCTGCTGCCTTCCTCCAGGCTTGGGGGACACTCAGCTCTCTAGAGCCACATCCTCTCCTTCCCACCACCTGTGTTTAAGAAGCTAGTCCTGGAGAGTGGTGTATTCTCAGAGGCAAGTACTGGCTCTGCTGTCAGACAGACCTGGGTTCAAATTCCAGGCTCTACTGCTTACTACATGCACAACCTTGGACAAATCACTTTGCCTTTCCAAGCCTCAGTCCCCCCATCTTTGAAATTAGAACAGTGCCTCCTTTCCTCCTAGGGCTATTGGGCATAATTAAATGTGATCACGTCTCTAAAGCATCTCACCTGGCACAGAGCAGCCGCTCACTAAAGGTTAGTCGACCTCCCTCTTCCCCATCCCTTCTGTGTTCATCTTTAGCGTCGAGAGTTCAAGTGTGTAACCTAGTCTGAGACAAAAGTGGCCTCTTCCTACATCCCAGATCCTTCCAAACCTTCCCAGCCCAGTTAGTGTGGAATCTCGAGTATCAGCAGGCAGGGACTATGGATCATCCAACTGAACTGCTCCCCATTTTACAGACGGGAAAACCAAGGCTCAAAGCACAGGGCATGGCCCACTAGCAAAGATGCTACACAATGGCTCATGTGTTAGCTCCAGGCAGGCCCAACCATAACCACCAAATAAATTCAGGCCATCCAGGAAATGCATTATTCAGTTCACGGACTGAAGGTCTCATCTCAGCGCATCTGACTCAAATGCTGACTTTAAAAACACAGCTCGTAATGCTAACACAATCCACCTCGATCCACCAGAAACCTACTGAAGGAATAACCCTTTGGAGTTTAAGGGGAAGAAGGGAAAAAGAAGAAAACAGATGCTTTAAGTGACTTTCAACTCTGAGACCACTGGGTTAGGGTTGTATTCTCTCCTCCCAGCCCAACCTTCTGCTTTCTTTCAGTTTCTTATAAATATGGCTTAGGGAGACCAACAAAGTAGCCACAAAACTACTTTTCCCCTGTCTTTTCTGCTTTTCTTACTCAGTAACTCAGCTGTCAGTCCCTGGACTTTGCTTCCAATGCTGAAAGCTTTTGCCTCTTTTTTTTTTTTTTTTTAATTGTAAACTATTAATTTGGGCAGCAGCTCTTGATAAACAAGAAGTCCATTTTTAAACTGCTAGAATCATTAGCACAGTGAAGGCGAACAGCACAAATATTTCAGGAGTTTGGTCTTTTTTCCTGGCCCTGGTATTACAGCTGTGCTTTTTGCATAATGCAGTCCAAGTTTTCAAAGCCCACTGCAGACTTTGTTTCATTTCTTCTCCCCCTTGAACTGAATGTCTTTGTTTCTTTAAATACAAAAATAAACTACGCCCTACGAAAAGAAACCACACAATTCTCTAGGTCCAAAGTAATTGCAACTGAAATCTATATTAGAAAAAAAAATTAACAAACCACCCATTATAATTTAACTTTGAATGTAACCGTATATGTAAGGTGAGGTTGCTGAAATACTACCATATCATGTTGAAAACAGAGAATTCTTTTCCAAGACAATTGAGAGAAGCAAGGGAAATTATCCTCAGCGATAATCACTGGTCAGCTTCCCAATAAAGTTTATTTGTTTGTTGTTCTTCCCCCTAATCCTATCCAAAACAGATTGAAAGCCCTGTCCCAAACTTTAGTTTCTCCCCTCTTCCAGGATGCTGGCCAAACTCCACAAAATAAAACCGAACAAAATGATGATAATTATGCAACTTTCAGAACAAAGAACATAAGAATATATTTTTTTAAGTGATTCATTGTGCACTTATGCCTGTAATGGGATTTTAACGCACTGTAAAAATAAGTGTGCTGGCTCACTAAGCTTCTCATGCAAATGAAACGCAGGGAGATGAGTAACTCTGAGATGGGGTTCGTTTTGGTTTTTTTTTTTTTTTTCCCCAGAAAAAGGATGAAGAAAAATCATAGCGTATAAAGAAACTGACATTTTTAAATCACAGACGGAGCAACATAGACTATCGATGTGATGCCACAGCTCTGAAGCTCTGTAGACCTCAGTCCAGCTAAGCACGCTACAGGTAAACTACTGAGAAACAACTAAGCCTAAATTAAATTACGATCTCATGTGATGGTCCCCTTGCCATTTTGCCCACAAAGTCCTAGTTTCTAGAGAGCTTGAGAGGCAGGAAGGATAGAGGAATTCTAGCCGCCCGAGATTCTTAGGGAATCTTTGGGAATTGTATTTCCGCTACATGTCTACAAAAGATTTGTCGGATACATAACTCTTATGACCGTAGACGCAACATGTTCCTATCTCATTTTTTACCCACACACATACTTGTTTCTCTTTGTCTCACTGAGGCTGACATTTGGTCAGCAGGTTTTTCTCTCCCTTATTTGAAACTTCAAGCACTGAAAAAATTTGGATCTGATTATTTCCGGATCGCAGGACCAGCACTTTAAAATGGATGAAACGCAAGCAAATTGCCCACCGGAGCTGGAGGGGGGAAATGCTTTAAAAATCACTCATACCTTTCTATTAGGGATGCGCTAGCCTTTCCAAGGCCTCCCCAGAACATCACAGGAGCTTCTTACTCAGATGAAGAAATTCGACCAGGTGGTACCACCAAAACATCATGACTTACTGTCCACCACCCCCACCCCCTGAGTCCATGCACACAATCTACAATTCCTTTTTTTTTTTCTTTTCCAAGTTACAAAACTGACAGCTTTTTGGCATTGACAGCCATGATGGCTGTTTTTATAACGGCGGGGTTCACATTTGTCGTGATCAACCTCCTTTTTATTGCAAGGATGCATCCAGTCTCAGCACACAGTGAAAGGGCCCAGTGAGTCACTGTCAATTAAATAGTGACCTCATTATCTGGTTTGGTGTGGGAACAGCAACTCTGGACAAACGGAATTATGTGGTAAACTACAAAATTTTCTAACTATGGCATAGATACTAGTTACCAATTCCCAAAGATGTGAGACAGTAGAAATACCAAAAGCAAAATACATTTTTTAATTCTCTGGGAACGTTCAGAAAGCCTTCGTGTGAATGCCAGCTCTCGGCCGCCAACACACACATGTAGAAGGTACAAGTTGTGGAACCAGAATCAAATATTTGCAGCTGGAAGCTTGGAAACTGCCACCTACTGTCTGCAGCTTTGAGCAAATCCCTGAACCTTAATGTCTGCATCTATAAAATGGGAATCACATTAATAACAGCTAGTATCTGCCTAGCACTTTACAGTCTTCTACATCTGCTCCCTCACAAGTGCCCCCAAGGCAGGCAGAGCCCAGCTGGCGTGAGGGCAGACAAGAGCATGTGTGGGAACACGCTCTGAACACTGTAAAGCACCGTGCACAGAGAACAAGCGTCATCAGGCCATCACCACAAAGCTGTCCGCCTGCATAAAGCCCAGATGTTTACCTTCTTTCCTTGTCAGGACTTATAAAAGCAGAGTGTCGGGTGTTTAATAATAAGAAAGAAAAATGCAGCATCTGGCAATTTGGCTTTTCCAGCTGTTTGGAATCTGGATAAACGGGACTCTGCCATAAACAGATCATGATTCTTATTGTAAATGATGACAATGTTAGTCCATGACGTCACACCATCCCAGTGCCTCCCAATTCCAGATCAAATACACAGGCCCCAAACATTTATGGATAAACGACTAGATTCAAGAACCCACTCTCTTCCTCTGCGTAGGGACTATCTGAGGCAGGCGGCAGAGCATCTGAAACCTGACCCCAGGCTGAGCCATACTGTCTTCTCTCCGGTCACTGAGCAGCAGTGGTCACAAAAGACCCGAAGCTTGGTACCTCTCTGCCTCCCCTGGCTAGCACACCACAGTTAGTGCCTTCCACATTCAGCATTTTAAAAATGTAACCTTTCTTCCTTCTCACTCTGTCCCCTTTATCTCAAGTGTCACTGACCCTAGCATGGGCCCTGCACGAATTAATAAAACAACTCTTGTTTTATTTACCCTGCAAGGTAGGCATCATTACCTCTCGTGCAAATGAAAACCCAGAGGTTGAGAATGTGAAACACGTTACAGTAGTAATCCTAAAAATAAGGCACTGAGGTGGCCCTTGCACACTCTTTATCACTAATGATCTCATCAGTTTTGCAAATTAAGTCTCAGGGTAAATTTACAAACGAGGGAACCAAAGGCTCAGAAGAGTGAAATTGCTTCCCCCAAGTCCCACAGATCATAGATGGTGGGGTCTCACAATTCCCAGCACAGTCAGTACGTATTTTTCAATTGGTATTTCTGTCTGTTTCCAATAAGCCTGAGAACTTGGAGCTAGACACCAAACAATCAAAGGGTTACATGGTCTGGGGACTATTTCGGTAGGAGTAGGGGCAGCAAGAAGGTGCCGTTTCCTTGCAGCATTTTTAAGGACGTTGAAGAACTGGGGGGAAGCTGGTTTTGTCTCGGGCCACTTGGTGGCTGGACTCTGAGGGAAAACTTGCCTAAAGCGACACAGAGGCCAGCAGGGAAAACTCTCCAAGCCCAGGATCGAGCCTTCTCTTTCTCCCTAGGCCAGGTTAGGATAGAGCTGTGGCTTCCCTAACCCCTGCCCTACACATACCAAACACTTTCCCACCTTCAGGCCTCAGTTTCCTCACCCTTCAAATGAGTGGGTTATATCCCACCACACCAGCCTCACTGGGAGGCTATGAAGAAAAGTTGTGAAACCTCTTGGAAAAAAGCTTCACCAGAGAGACCAGCTTAAGGTACAAAGAAAGAGGCTCTTCTTCCCATCCCTTTATTCTCCTCTGCCCTTTCCAAATGTAATCCTGACTTGAAGATCTTTTATTTTGGACATGTTTGGGGGTGTGCATAAAAATAACTGGGGTTAGGGGGAATGGAAGTAGGAAGATCGGACACAAAGCCCCCAGACGAAAGATTTCACCATAGCGTGGAACAAAGGTTATGTTCGGGAGAGTCGTTCGCTAGGTCTGCAGAGAACTCGATCTTCAGATGACAGCCACGATGTTTTTAAACACAGAACGTTGCAGGAGGGTATCTATTTAAGGGAGGATTGTGTATGGAGCCGGGCAAGCCAGGGAGCTCCCGGCAGCAAACATTACTCATGTCTCGCTGCACAGCGCTCCTCTCTGGTAAAAGAGACCTCATATGTGTGTATTCCAGCAATAACATTCTGCAGGCATTTCCCACCCCTCCCCACTGTATCTGTCCTTCTAAAATATTATCTCTATCCCTTGAAAAAGAGGCTGGCATCTAAAACAAAGAGATGGGAAATAGTTCTCTCTCACAAAGCCGAGTGTTTTCTTTAAAAAAGAAAAAAACTGCTTATGTTTATTTCATTTTACTAATCCCTGAACCAGGGAGTTGGCTGTTTTTGATCCACGAGGAGCTCTCAACTCTAAAAGCAGGCTGCCTACCTCTTCTGAGTTGTGGGGCTGATGCTAGGAAGTGATGCCTATAACCATAAAACCCAAACTGTTTTTGTCTTCCTTGAAAATCATTTGGAAAGAGAACCAAGAGGTTCCAAATGCCGATAGTCAAACCCCAAAGCCTTGGTTTTCCCTAAGGGAAAAAAACGGGGAGGACGAGGACACGGCATCTTAACAATTTCTCCAATTCCTGGTTAATTATCTGTCAGCATGAAACTCATAAATAATGACTCAATAATAATTAACTGTGATGAGAAGAGCGTGTTCCTGAAAATCCCAGCACCATCTCTGACTTTGAGCCCATAAGCCATACTGGGACCTCCACCTTCCCGTGGCCAGCTTCACTGGGGGACGAAGGGGCTTGCCAAGGAGCTTGTGATCCAAGACTAGGCTGCCGAAGCACCAAGTACAGAAAAGTCATGTTTAAGTTAGGACGTGACCCAGGCTCGATTGCTGATGCAGAAAATTTTCCCTCAGGAATCCAGAAATCATCTGGTTTAATTAATTCCTCACTTGACAGATGGGGAAACTGAGGTCCCAAAAGGAGATCTTGCTAAAGGCCTCTGGGTTTTGTTAGTTAAGAAGATTGAAATACTTCAAACTATGCCTTGAGCTGCTCAGAAACAGATACCAATATATGCGTTGCTATTCGCCCTCATATATAATAAAATTTTGACAAGTTTCTATGCAAGCTTTATCAGAAACATACAGAAGCAAAATTATGTAAGCTGAGAGCTTTCTACAAACACATTTGCCCAAACGGGGCTGAGTTTAAATTAGATGCTTCGCAAAGCAGGCATACTTTCCGACTGACAAGCTAGTCCCAAACAATAAGAGAGAAACTGAGGAACTCAGAAGAAAGTTCCACTAAATTCTCCCGAGCACGCGGTGGCGACGCCGGGCAGCCCGAATCTCCACAGGAGCCGCCAGGCACGTTGTCAGGGCCGGACTCACCCTTCCCAGCGGCAGCGGCCTTGGATGGACCGTAGTCTCGGGGGCTCCGGGGCCGGAGGAGGTCGTGGGAGCGCGGTGGCGGCGCGGGAGGCCGGGCTAGCAGGTCCCGCGGGCCCCTGTCCGCGCAGCCGCCGCCACTCACGGTGACCCTGAAGGCCATGTGCGCACCGAGGCTGGCGTGGCCGCGGCCGGGGCCGGGCGCACCGGGGGCCTCCTTGGGCCTCTTGTCCGAGTGTGCCTCAGCCACCTCGCAATGCATGGCGCCGGGGCGGGGCGCACGGCTGGGGGTCGCGCCGGGCTCCTGGGGAGGGGAGACAGCACAGCGAGTTAGAATGCGGAAAGCGGCCCCCGTCTCGTCCCAGGGCCGAGTTTGAGCAGGTCACTGCCCCTTCCGTGGATTCCGCGTCTCTAACATAGGTTAGCGCCACCACACCTAGCCCAATCAGAGGTCAAACCCACCTGATCCCACGCAAAAGCCCCCTCACTCAGGAGCGGTTCGCCCTTCCCAGGTGCGCTGAAGACCCCAGGCCCCCGCGCCGCGGCGCATTACCGAGAAGTCCCACCCAAATCCGCCTCCACCGAAACCAGCCTCCTTTCCACGAATGGTGAAACTGAGGCCTGGAGCGGGTAGCGCGCCTCTTCCCTGTCCCCAAGTGGAACAGGGAGCCGGCGGCAACGAGGATTCCCAGAGAAGAACTCGAGCGAAGCGCCGGAGACGGCTCCGGCTGGGTCACTGGCTGCGCGCCTCGTCGAGGCTCCGGGGCCGAGCTGCGCGCGGAGGCTGCGGACTCGAACCCAAAGGCCCGGGGGAAACCCCCAGAGACTCACCCGCGACCACCCGAACCGGGAAAACGCCAGTCCCAGGATGGGCGCTGAATCCAGCGACGCGAACCCATCACGCGCAGCCGGGACACCCACATTCCCATGCGCAGCGGAGGAATCGAGCCCGTCGCGCGCGCAAACCCGCACAGTGGGCAATGCCCACGCGGCCGCCGCCACACACCCGCACGCCCGTCGAGGCACGCCAGGAGACGTACACGCCACCCACACTGCCACTGGTCAGACGCTCGGCAGCGCACTACCACCCAGTCCCACGCTCTTGCCACACGCGCGTGAGATGGGGGCCGCGCCGGAGCCTCGGCCCTTCAGTCAGGGGCCCCAAACTCTCCGTTCCCCTCCGCACTCCCAGCGCCATCCCCAAGCTGCCGGGGTTCGAGCGTCGCCGGGACGCCAGCCTCGGATCTCGGGCCCCGCACCCGCCCCTCCCTCGGCCGCGGGCCGCGCCCCCTCTCACCTCGCAGCTGCAGCTGCAGATCGCTGGGCGCCCGGCTCGGCGCGCCTCCACTGGCGTCGCAGCCCCCGCAGCCGCCGCCGCCGCCGCGTCCTACGGGGCGGTTCCCCGGGGGACGGGGGCGGGCCCGCGTCTGCCCGACAGCTGCTCCAGCCACTGGCTG